CACCAAAAAACAAAAAATTTTAGCGAAAATAAAAATTATCCTCGAAGTCGATGAAGATCGGTTTGCTGGCTTAATTGCTCCGGACTAACCGTCCGGAACCTCCAGTCTAACCAGTGTAGTTATGACTGGTCTAACCACTGAACCGTCGCCGGTCTGACCGCTGTCGCCGTGAAACCGTTGGTCTGACCGTTGCTACGTCGTCTGTGTGACCATCGTACCTAAGCAAACATAAATTAAGAATTTGTTGAAAGTAGATTAAACTTTATTACTTCTATTCGTGTTTACAAAGTGCAACAACAATACTCCTCTCACAAAATTCGATTAAACTCGAAATCTTAACTTTTCTCTAAATTTTACTCTCACAAAATCGATGCCGGAAGATCTCAACCCCTCCCCCCCTTCTTTGTTTATACCGAGGTTGACAGCCAAAAGCCACGAATCCAATTTGTACAAGAAGTCCTAATCCACTAGGAAAACCTTCTCATCCAAGAAACAAACTTATCTCTATCCAATTTAAACTCCAATCTTGTTAAATTTGGAAGATTTACTACACAATCTCAAATCATATGCTGCATGGAATCTCTATCAACCACGTGCATTACTCTTTAGCTTAAGCATCCCGCATGATATCCTGATCATCCGGACGTCATATTTTTCCAAGTTGACTCCCGATTCATTACCGACAACGCTATCCCGATGCATCAAGACACACCTACACATTAATCAACCAAGAAACCATATCTGAGCACGAGTTCTTTCCCAACTTGACTCAACGTTAACACACAACAATATTACACACATATAGAAATCATCTAGAAGTCATAAATCACGAGTATCCAAATAAACAACCTGGAATTGATACCAACACGGAGTTGGCCAGTCAGACTGTCGGGGCTGGTCAGTCTGACCACACCGGTTTGACCGCCCTAGTCCACCCGGTCTGTCTGGTCTCCACACAGTCAAAATCACTTCGACAAATAATCTCCAAATATAAAACTAATTATCTGACAAGCCAATTCTTCATCACAAAAAAAATAATCAAAACACATTTTGATTTCACAATCTCCTCAGGAACACATTTGCAAATCCATCAAAATGTTATTATTTTGGTGTTTGGAAAAATAAAAACTCGAAGTGGTAAAAAAGCATCCGAGCGCTAAAAAATTTAAAAGAAAACTTCTCCCTCTTTGAAAATGAAAGAAATTTTTTTATCATGCACATCTTGTATCATCTTATATCTCTTCTCATCCTTCTGGTAATGATTTCATCAAGTTTTGCAAGTCACTGTTTATTTCATAGAGCTTTAATATAACCTAGAGTAAATCAAGGACATGTGTTACAAAAATAAATAAGATAAATTCATCACCTAGTTAACAAGCATGCAGTAGAGTATAAACATGAATATAATGTTACAATTAAGCTCAAGTCAACAATCAAGATTCATGATTTCAAACAATTTATAAACCCTCACATATAAACCTATTGGATCATTCATTCTGAAATTAACTCCTTCTTAGAATACAAAAAAACAAAAAGAACTTTCAACAATTATTTGAGTTTTTTGTGCTCCCTTTGACATTTGAACATTGAACATAAATCTCTTAATCATTTTGGGTATTCTTGTCATCTTGACAGTTTCCAAGAATTCGGTACACATTATTTTCCTCGCCGCAAATATGTTCTTGTCGTCAAAATTGTTTCCAAGAATTCAATATTCATTTTTACCTCTCTTAAAAGTAAATACGAGCAATATTTGCACTTGCGGCATTTGGAACAATAAGAAGCAATTTTAGGAATAACAATCCAACAAGCATATATGTAAGCACTAGCTTCAAATTACATATTTATTTAATTCAAGGTGTTAACACCACTGGCAAAGCCTCCCTAGCCAACCTCATCCCCCCATCCCCTCTCCTCCTCAAGCTAGCAGCGGTAAGGTGCCCCTGTCCCGCATCTTCCCAAGACTCTAATGGCTCCCCGTAATCAGGATCCACCACCACCGACTGTCATCTTGTAATCACAAAGCTAGCTTGCTTTGTCTACGCCGTTATTGCCGGCCTACCCATACTCCTCCTTCCCCATAACTTTGGCACAGTCAGTATCATCTCGCTGCTCCCCCGTGTTCACCGCTCACTGTCTACCGCTAGGCCGTTGTCCCTTAGAGTTATTCCTCTAAACTAGTTGATCTCCCCCTCCCCTCACACCCCTCCCAACCCAATCGAGGACCCTAAACCCTAACTCTATTGCTATTCCTTAAGCCGCTGCTGGACACCAGAGCTAGAGGAGAAGAATCAAGCAAACCGAGTCGTTTAAAATCATAAGAAATGCCACTCAATTTTCTGCTGAATGTGATTTAGCAATTCTTTTTTTCCCCTCTACATGTTCTCATGAATTTTAATCTCGAGTGTATTGGCCTAGTTCTTTTTCTTCAACTCCAAACTTCAACTTCTTCGTTTTTTTGTTAGCACGCTTTTCAAACTGTTAAATGATGTGTTTTTTTAAAAAAAATCTATATAAAAGTTGTTTAAAAAATTCAAATAAATCTATTTTTTAAGTTTATAATTATTAATATTTAATTAATCATGTGCTAAGAAGCTTTCTCGTTTTGCGTGCACTAAAATTTTCTTTCTTTTGGAGCTGATCGAACGCAGCCAGTTGGTGTCAAGAAAACAGACAGTACAGGATGTTCCCGTGAATAGAAAAAAAAAGCATAAATTAAGATCGCAACGAGACACTATTCCCGGCAGTTAACCTCTTGAGTGTTGACTCTTGGCCTCGTCGCTAAACCGTAAACCGGTGGGCCCGCGGTTTTAGATCTTGGACCTCGTTTGGGGGCAGCTAGCAAAGATGCCGGGCTGACCGAGCCACCGAGGCGCGTGACCGGCATTGAAAAGGAGTGAACCAGAGAGCGTGTGGCAGTGGATGGAGGCTGACTTGTGCGGATTAATGTCAACTTGACACTCACAAGGTAGATGAGCGCCCATTGGACAGTGTAATAGCTAGTGTAGCGGGACGGGTCGAACCCAATAACCATGATGAAGATACGATGACCCCGCATGATCGATGACCTGGTCAACACAATTTTTTTTAATGTGAAAAGTTCTACAGTGCTACCCAAACTATTTTATCGGAGTACTTAATCTAACAATTTTTCTACTCATGAGTACAAAATGATTTTCAAGATCATTTTACACTTCAAACTCTTGAAAACGATTCATTTCACTGAAATATGGGAGGGGGTGCCCCCCGGTTAAGAAAATTTTTAGTTATAACTCACAGATTTTCACCATGTGTGCATCCCCTCAATACGAACTTAGATACACGTATCAATTTAAACTTTATCTAAAATAGAGTAAATTAAGTAAGAGGCACCCTCCTCCATTTCGTTCTAAGCTTCTAGCTCCGCTCCTGCATTATAACTTACCTCTCAATATTTTTCTGACTTTTTTTAATCAATGTTTCTATAGTTGGAAGCACCTAAGACTGATTTAAATATTAGGATTTTAAAGTTCAAGCAAACGATCATGAAAAAATGAAATATTTTGGAAATTTGAAAATGAAGTCATCTAAGTTTCATCTTAAAATCTGACTTGCATATAGAAAAAAAGGAAAGAAAATAGTATATATTAAGCAGTAAAGTGAACCACTTTTAATAGTTTGAGGATAAAATAAGAAAAAAAATGTTTAGGGTGAAGTGGTCCTATGAAATTGTTTGAGAGAGTATAATAGACTTTTTATTTCTTTTTTAATAATGGGAATAATTTTTAGGGTATAATGGAAATAGTTTAGTTTATATCGGAACATAGATAGAGAATACGTTTGTTGTAAGGATGAAGAACTTACGAGAGCTTGAGATTCGAAGAAACAACCTACAAAACAACCTACAATTAGCCAGTTAGTGAGGATTTTTAAATAAACTGAGCTTACTAGCTTCTGACTTCTAGTTTTGGGAGCATTCTAAAAAGAGAGAGATTTGGAGAGAGACGTCCCAAATATATTTTTTTTGAGAAGAAATCGTGAGCATGCTATTCCAAAATTTTTTTTAGAAGAAATCGTGAGCATGGTAAAAAAAGATATTTGGAGAGAGACGTCCCTCCAAATATTTTTTTAGAAGTAATTGTGATCATGTTGGGAATTGAACACGTGAACTTGAGGTTAAAGGGGCTGTTTGATTCCCAGCCACACTTTACCATTACTTGCCAACAAAAGTTGCCACACCTTGCCTAAGGTGAGGTGATCAAATTGTTAGCCAGAACTTACTAAGCCTAAGGGAATCTTGCCACACTTTTTTGAGCCATTGACACGTGGGACCCAATTTGTTGGAGGGGAATCTTGCCACAACTGTGGCTACAACCAAACACCTATCAAATTTGCCTAACCTTAGGCGTGGCAAACTGTGGCAAAGTGTGGCTTGCAACCAAACACACCCAAACCACACACCCCTTGTCACTTCACTGTCTTAGGAGCATTCTAACATAAGCGGTATTAGAAACTCCCCCAGCATAAAAAAAAGAGAGAGATATATATTACAAGCTATAATGTGATAAGACAAACCCCGAAAGTCACCGGCTCTTCTTATTATTGACTAGCGTGATCACATGCAATTCCATCGTTTAGCCTACAACTGATTACAAGCTATAAAGCTTATTAGCGACAACAAATTAAATTTAGTCTTAGAGAATTAAATGGCAATGCTGGAAAAATAAACTAAAAGAAATCAAAATTAAATTTTGACTGCTATTGATAAACTGAAAAGCAAACGATAGACTTGCTATATTCTAACCAACGACTGTTTGGACCTGGTTAGCGGTCTGAAGTTAATCGAACGTGAAGAAGCCTGGACAGGTCCAACGAGCGATTGGTGAATTCGTCTTCGTAAAGTGCAGTATTTTATTTTATTAGGGTATCCTATTGCACCGTTTGCTGGGATGAGATCCGACTGCGTGCGTAGTAGAAGTAACAATGTTGATACTACCTGGCAATCTTACAGTTGTGGACAAAATAGCAAAATTAATATAAGTCCTAATGTAGGAGTATATCACAAGTTACAATGCTTAGATCAGCTTATATGTTATAGGAGTAGAACGCAATTTATTGAGTTCATGCCAAGCTATGTAAGAGGTTACAAAACTTACATTGTAAATACTTCAACGTAACATTGCTTATTTCAACAAAACATTCCGTTTACATTTCATACGAATCGCAAGCAACAAACAACAGAGAGTACGATTACAGTACTTTAACGTAAATTAGAAAGTTTTGATAGCAAAGTAGCCGATACAAGGAACTTTGACACTGGAGGCCGGCCCGATCGAGCCGCGAGGAGCGCAGGCAGCTAGGCCTAGGCGGCAGATTGGCCGTTCCGCCGGCGCACGGTGCGTGTGCTATCATAAAGACCAAACAAGCCTTCCATTACGTCTATCACCGGCGACGCGAGCCCGCCGGTGGTCATATCATCCGTCGCCCGCAGGACAAAGAATCCGAACTGGAGAATACCCTTGCCGACTTGCACGGTCTGTTCCCAGGCCGTGCCAGCCTCCTCCTGCTGCTGCTGCTGCGACGGCGGCGGCATGCACCGCGGGTGCACGTTGAAGCCGCACGGCGCGCAGCGGTACAGGTAGCACCCGGCCTGGGAGGTCACCTTGCAGGTGTTGCACGTCCCGCTGGCCGCAAGGCTGGAGAGCGTGAGCGCGTGCTCGCGGTGCTCGTCGACGGAGGCGGACACCGGGAGGGCGAGGCAGGCGTGGTGGATGTTGAAGTCGCACTTGCGGCAGCGGTAGCCGTCGCCGGTGATTCTGCGTTCGCACGCGGTGCAGGCGACGCCGGCCGACTTGGCGCCGTAACGGTGTTCTCTAACCAAGTGCTGTGGGTGGTAGAAGCAGCTAACAGATGCTGCCATCTCGATATAGGATACTATCGCCTCTTAATTTTTGTTGTGCGGGCGGTAGTGATTCTGATTCATGCTTCACAGATGAGTATATATAGAATGTTTCGAGCCATCAGTCTTACTGGGTTTCTCAAGCGTGGGTCAGATTTTCCTTAAAAAACTTTCCTTTTGTGAGAGACCCTGTGCAGAATTTGTCTACAAGAAAAACTTATAACAAAGCTGCAGGCTGGAAGGGCAACAATATAACGAACCACACTAAAAGCATAGAGCTATTTGTTGTATAATGAATTTTGGTCAACCAAGCAAAATTTATGTTTGATGTTGTGTTTTTTTCCAAACGCGCAAAATATTTGCACGTCAATATATTAGAAGAAAAGTAGCATATATCAGTAACACGCTAAGGTGGTTACTGGGGGTAGGGGGTATAGTATGGCATGCAAGAGCTTGCGAAACCGAGTGCAACTCCTAAGGGGAGTTGAAAGAGGCGAAACTAAGGTAAGCCATGTGCGTCATAGCCTCTCGATAGTTTACCCGGCCATAACCTCAATCCATCGCCTCAACCAATTGCTGCTCTTGTTGCACAATCCGCTCCACCACCGCCGGCACATGTGATAGAATACCATCGAAGGCGCGGGCGTTCCTTTCCTTCTATAAGTGCCAGTTAACCAGGAGGACAAAGGTTTATGCGTCTTGCTTGTGCAGACAACGCCGCAAGATTTTCCACCTATCTTTGGAGCATCAATTGGCTGCTCGGTGAGAGGTTGGTTAGTCCGGCCAAGACTAATAGCTTGCACCACACTTGTCTTGCGAAGACACAGTCAATGAGAATGTGATTAGCCGTCTCCTCCTCTTGTGCACAGAAGGGGCACATGGAATGGCTGTCCATTTCTCGATCGAGCATCCGGTCGGCCGTCTGGATATGGATATTTTTTTATACGAATACGAATATGATATCAGAATTTTCAATGGATATGGATAATAATACGGGTATCTAGTGAACAGTGGTATTCGGATATCCGTTGAAGGCATGGAACATACACAAGTTTTTGTAACTCTATACCTTCAATCTACCTCTTTAGATTTTACTAGTAGCCCATCCCACAAAACTAGTCCACGCTATCAATATAATTTAAACTTTTAAATATTTTCATAAACAAAAGAATAGGAAAAAAATAATTTAGTGTCATGGTTTCTACAATCTTGTGAGATAAAACACAAGTAATACAAGATTGTAAAAGATAAAGGAAAGAGGCATTTGGATATATAACAAAGAGAAACACTAGATTGTTGAAGATAAATGAAAGGAACCATGAGGTATGACCTCATGGAAAATTTCCTCCAAAATATCTATTGGTTTGTCATTCCATAAGATTTTCAAAGATAAAGATATGATTCAATCATTTGTTCCAAATACCTCTTTAGGATTTTTCATGTATGGTTAGAATCTGACGGAATTCCTATTTTCTTCAGGAGAGCCTTAGTGGTCTTTCAAGTTTTCAAGTACAGGCTAGACAAACCATGTAACTTCATTTTCCTTTAATTTTGAGAGTTAAAAGAAACTTTTGAGAGAAACCTTGTGCATAATTTGTCTAAATATTTTTTAACAAGTTGGAAGCAGCAAGCACACATGGACAATGAGCATGATATTACTTTAAAAAAAATCACACTTTAAGGGGCAAAATGACTTGAATTACCCACTAGCATAGAGCGCTTTCAATATGTAATATAATAAATTTAGTTCAGCCAAGCAAAACATCTTAATTTACACAATTTATGTTGTGTTAAGTACTTTAATTTTCACACTTGCATTTCATCAAGTAGCTGAGAGCCTGAGAACTTCTTAATTCACATTGAATTTTTCATTTTTCTACTCATGAGGAGCTGAGGTCTTCTTAGGGTGTGTTCGGCACCCCTTTTCCCAACTCCTCTCCCTCGTTTTCCACGCGCACGCTTTTCAAACTGCTAAACAGTGAGTTTTTTTGCAAAATGTTTCTATACGAAAGTTGCTTAAAAAACAAATTAATCTATTTTTGAAAAAAAATAGCTAATACTTAATTAATCACACACTAATGGATCGCTCCGTTTTCCGTGCGGGAGAGATTAGTTCCCATCCCCTAAAACCGAACACAGCCTTAGTCCACATTAATCCCTCGCTCACATAGAGCTGCATTAGTCTCACTCTCACATAGAGCAACCCATTTATGCTTAATATCTCACTTACACTTCCATCGTCAATTTTGTGTAAAAGGCTTACTTGGGATACATAGTTAAAGCACCAAGCCACCAAGGCTTATAAAATGGTCATTCTCCTAAACTTTCAATGTGGTACTAAACCACACACTACAATCACTTCTAGGTTACATGGGGCTCAACTCCACCAAATTACAAATAAGCTAACGTTTTACACCATTCGATTGAAATCCAGTCAATGGAGCATTCATATATTTTTTTTCAAACTGATCCCTCCCCCTCCTCCCACCCCCACCCACCTCAACTTCACACATACAATCCTCCTCCTCTCCCACAATGCTAGTATTATGTCGTATAGTAAAAACATGTCCTCCCAACTCAATTTTATGGGCTTTAGTTTTAGCAATAATTGGAAGGGGAAAATGAGAGTTTAGAGTAGAGAATTAGTGATAAGATTAGCACGAAAGTTTGTTTTTTATTCAAAGAGCAGCTCCAGTATGAGGCTAAAAACGGTTTTAACCAGTGTTTTAAATAGTCGGCTAAGACATTTAGCGACCAGCCTTCTTAAATAGCTAACAATGGGCTAAATGTGACTATAACAGCTAAATTGTATATAACAGTAAATAGCTATCTTCAGAGAGACGCGGTAGCTATAGCTGAAAAGTTAAAACCTTTGGTTTTAACACAGAAAAAGAAAACCATACACATTATGCCAGTTGACTTATGCTTGTCTGTTGCACATAGCCATTGGCACATGCATGGAGGGCAGACGCAATGATTGATTATTTTTTTTACGTGTGTTGGATAAATCAATTTTACACTATAGCTATCGAACCAACACTTTGTTCTTCGTAAGTGGACTGTAGGAGTCGAATTAGGCTAGGAGGTGCCATAAATCCTTCGTTTGGTATGAGTGACGGGATTCACATGGGGTTTTAGACAGGGTTAGATTTTAAGTTACAATGAAGGGCTGAGATTTGTTAAATAAGAGCAAGCAGACCCATAATTAATCAATACCTGATTATAAGCCATAACAGTTTATTATAAAAACATTATAGGTAAAAAAAAATTTATATATTTTAACGGCTTAAAAACTAATGACGGAAAAGAAACTAAAGAAACTAAGTTAAAAATACTCTAAAATCAACTTCAAAATTTACTTTAAAAGTTAAAATTTTGGCGGGAGCTTTTTTTTTTTACAAACGATAAGGCCCCGATTAATCCATTAATCCATGTATGAAAAGAATGAGGTTTACGTTTCCCACTTTCCCTCCACCGAAGAAAAATCACACTGAATCAGTAAACCGCGTGGGCGGTTTTGGAGCGTGGATCTCTTGGGGCCGCAAAGATGCCGGGCTGACATCGAGCTGTGTAACCAGTGACCGGCAGGGAAGAAGAGTACGTGGACGGTGGACCTGCAGCCAGGGACGCTGACTCCTACAGATTAATTTCAACTTGACACCCAAATGACAAGTACAGTAGAGGACCTGTTCAATGATTCACAGAGCGTCAGCGCCCATATATTTGTACTGTGTCTGTGTGTCCGTGTACCGGGATGGGTGATGGCCGGGTCGTCCAACGATGATCTGACCAAAACCTGATGAAAATATGTCCCGAGTTGTAGTGGCTCGAGCCTGACCTGATTAGCGGTTTAATTTCAAGCCAGAATAAATTTGATGAAGCCTGGCCAGGTTTAGCGATTGTGAAATTCCATATACTACGCAGGCTGCAACCGCAGTAGTTGATAGCATTACTGAAAAGCAAGGGCGGGATGAGCGGTTTAACCCAAAAAAAGGTTGATCAGTGCTACATTCTGTCAGTTGTGTATAGGACCATTCATATCATATTTAGGATGTGTTTCACGCTAAAATTGAAAGTTTGGTTGAAATTGGAACGATGTGACGAAAAAGTTGAAAGTTTGCGTGCTTAGAAAAGTTTTGATGTGATGAAAAAGTTAGAAGTTTGAAGAAAAAGTTTGGAACTAAACTCGGCCTTGGTTTATTGCCAAAATATTTTGCTTTATTACACTACATCCGTTTTCTAGCTGATGACACCGTTGACTTTTAGATAAATGTTTGACCATTCACCTTATTAAAATAATTATATGTAATTATCATTTATTTTGTTGCGGGTTATTTTATTTAAAAAGTACTTTAAGCATTATTTATATCTTGTGTATTTGTATCAAATTTATAAATAATACGAATGATTAAATGTGTGTTTAAAAGTCAACGCATCATCTATTAAAAAAATAAATGAAGTACAAAATAACAATTTTTTCTACATATATAATTTTGCACGGATAAAGATTTTAAATATGTTATGGGTCTACAATGATTGGATGGTTAATATTTTTTCTTCAATTAATATGAGAATTTTTAGCTCTAAAGGTGAATATTATGACTTCCATTCGAGCTATTAATTATGGTGCATGAACTTATGTAGTATATGTAAATATGTATTAGAATTTGTATATATCGTTTGCATGCAAATAGGACATACGACTATATTGAACTGTATCAGTTGAACCGGCCAACCTATGAAGTATCCCATTAATTAGGGTATCTTTTCGTTTGCGCCTTATAAATAAATAGGGTATATATGGTGGAGATTTCTGTTTCCGGTAGCTCTTTTTTTTTTTTAAAGCCAGCTAGCTTGTGCTTGACTTGTATGTGCAGTGCACTTAAGGTTATGTCAACTCTGATCCATGAACCAGTGTAGTCGTTTTTGCTGACATCATCGCTTACATGTGTGAACTTTTTCATGTAAAACTATGAAATACTCGTTTCTGTCGAAAGACTTCTTTTTTGTGATCTTCGAGGTGTGAGTACTAACCATAATTTTATATTAAAAAAAA